CACAAGCAAATTGATAAATAACTGTCCCGAGTAGACATTGCATGTTTGCTAACTTTTTTGGGGGGGAGGGGTGGGGGGGAGATCTTTTTGGGCGGTGTTGTTTTCAACTTCCTAACATTTCTAACCTTCAAAGTACTGACCTCCAAAGTACTCCCATAATTTATCGATTAAATATTTTACTACCGCCAAAGGCTGAGTCCGCTGAGACTGGCTTGCTTGATGTTGGCTTTCATATGCTCCAGCGTCTAATGTGGTTCTTGATTCTAAGGCCTTCACAAGCCGTTGGCTGTCGATGCGGTACATAAMAAGTGTTGAAGAAGAAGGCTTCATGACTCGGCGACACTCGATCCACAGATCAGAAAKCCAGTTTTCTCGATCAGGTAGACGCATGGACTTTAACTTGTTCCCCRCAGGAATCACTGGAAYACAGACTTYYGGGTCGAYGCCAACTGATGCAAAGTATTCTTTAAACTGCTTYTTCCATTCTTCAAGCTGSGATTRGAAATATYYTAACTYGTCTTCCCCATCAGGGTCTTCAACCTTGTTYGCAAAAGTCAAAGCCACTACAGCATGCTTCCACRCKTCCTTCCCAAACTCCTCTGTCAGTATTCGGATGGCTTTCTTGTCTGCGTCATAGAATCTTGYCTCGTCCATTCTGACACAGTAGATCATCAAAGCAATGTCCTYGATGTYGTRCYTCATGTCTTGTATGTACTGGTCTTCATTACTCGTTCCGTCTTGTAATCCAGGAGAATCCCAMACTTTAACAGCAACATTTTCGATGGTAGTTTCATACGGAGTTGATTTACACGCATCTTYCTTAGTAATATTTCTATCAACRAGAGCGTTTTCAAGACGAAACTTCCCAACCCCAGTTTTACCGGYGACTAATRTAYTGARGAATRTGCGGTCTTTATTCTTGTCGAGTAGGTGTTCAGTCTCCATACTATCAGTAGAAGTAGAACCTGCAGCCATCGTTCAGAGCGGAATCAAGGTTGGGAGAAGCTGGGTTCATARCACAAGTAAACACCACACCGCGCACGCGCACTGACGACAATATTTTCGGAGAATTGAGTTGCGTGTAAAATACCCAGGTCCCAGAGGCTCGACGATTTTTCTCCCGGCCAAGTATATTTTGAGCCGCGAAGCGGTGAGCTAGTTGCGAAGCAGCGAGTCCTGCTTCGCGGCTCAAAATATACGTGGCCGGGAGAAAAATCGTCGAGCCTGGGACCAGGGTACGTGTAATATAAAGCTTTTTTCGATTGGTTGATCAAAAATTTTGTAACTCTTTCGACTGTTCAGTTTCCAAAGGTTTTCATTCCAGAGAACTAAAATTCTCCACAATCAATTCGATGTAAATAAATGTGGAGGTTATTAGTTCATGATGAAAATAACTGTGACATCACTAGCACCTATTATTCACGCGCAAATGTTTTTCAAGTAATATTTCAAAGCCGACAATGAGGATTGGACGGGATTTCAATTCYAAGCAATGAGTTTCAGTCTAACTGGAACTAATTGCGCCGACTTGAAATCCCGTCCAGTCCGATAYTGGAGGCTTTGAAATGACTTCTCATGCTCATTAATTATTCGACTTGGAGTAACTGGAACAAAATTAATTCAGTCCTAGGACTGAATTAATTTTGTTCCAG